ACAGCTCCATCCATCTTATTGCTCACAGGTGGTGAACTAACACTATAAAAACAGTCCCTGCTTACATGCTCTCTCTGTAGTCGGAGCTCGCTTGCCTCTTGAACTTGTTGAAATGAATCTGTTGCTGTAACAAATAGTGGACATATCCTTCTAGTTTGAGTCACATTAAAGCCAAACAAAACAACATCTGCTGGTACTATTTAAAACCCCCGACACCTCAGAATACAGGAAGAGCCTCTGTGGACCGTTAGAGAGTAATTACTGGATATCTTTTACAAGGTGTAACTAGAGCCAAAATAGACAGTGCCCGTGACACCCAGCTAGTCCTCACTTTGTCCCAATCTGTTCTTTTCGATGTACAGCCCGCCTCCTCCCACCTGTCTCCCATTATTCTTTTCTAATCAGGCGTCCATGCCAATCAATTTTATCGCCATGACAACATTTTGCATGACGCCCCCTCCAAACACCGCCGCCACAGCCACCGCACACCCCTATAAACAAAAACAAAACAAAATTTTAAAAAAACAGAAGCTGGATTCCGACAGCTCAGGATTGATGAGGGGGAGTCCTGTCAAAGGCCAGAGATTAGATTAGGAGTGAAGGAAACACACACACACACACACACACCACAGCTCAGAGGCAGCAGGTGCTTTTGGTTAAACCTTAATTACATGATCTCTGATTTCTCTAATTGATATGGTAATGACTATGTAATTAATGCAAAAGCAGAAATACCAGCAGCTCACCTAATGAATGGATTTATTTGATTAGATATCCTTCTGCATATTTATGCATGCTGATAAACAGAGGACACCAAGATACAGAAAATGGTTATTTGGGGCGGTTGTGATAGTGTTGCTACTGATGAGAAGCCACTGCTACAACACTGATAAAATTTACACAGGTAGAAATTTGAGCACAAATGAAACTGCTAAAAAAGACAAAAGAGTAAAACTTTAACTAAATACATTTGCTGCTTTGAACTGTAGCTCAAAGCAGCTGTAGCTGTAGACTAACTAGCACAAAGACTGTTTAAAAGAAGAGCAAAGGAGGCAAAGGAAGAGGAACTCCAGCCCTGTTCTTTCACAGGTAGGTGGTGCTATGGGGCTACCTCACACTCACAGTTTATGAGCCACAGTTTGCATAAATGAAGATGATCATGAATGGTGCTGATGAGCACTCTCCAGTCTTCAAATCACCAAATATGTGCTTTTATAATTCCGAATACATATTTTTTATTCAAAGTCTACACGCTGCTCCAATAAATCCCAAAGCTCACAGACTCTGATGCCTTCACCCTTTCGTAGACGTATACACACTCAACTATAACTTCACCGTGACATCTAGATGTGACCCAGCTGCATTTACTCTCTGCTTTAGCAGCAAACCTCACAGGGAGGGAGGAGACCGGATATTTGGGGAAAGATTCCAGTATGAAAAGTCACCTTCTGGGGATGAGAAATCATCTCTCCCGCTTACATCCAAACGCCCGCACCGCTCGCTGACTTTAAAATATGTCTCCATATATCTTCTCCTCATGTGAGATATCTGGGGGTCTGCTGCATGGGGTGGGGGGTAGGAAGAGGTCAAGTGAAAGCACATGTGGGCCCAGGCCAGGTCTGAAGAACGGAGACCTCGTGGTTCTCCATTTTTGTGTATAAGGTATAACCACACAACCCAGACACTTCTCTGGACGCTATTACACCTGTGTGTTTTTTTATTAACAACAATAATAATAATATTAATTCATATAGTACTGTTTGATTGCATTCATATTTTTTCTAAGAAGTTAGAAGTGCTAGAATAATAATAAGTAAACTAAATAAATCATAAAAGTGCGGTGAAACTGCTTTGGGTTTTTTCATCAAATTAGCAACTTAGATGATAAAACACTGGAACAAATGCTAAAAACTGGCGTGTTCTGCTGTTTCCTTTGGGTCTAGAAACCTCAGCTTCTGTACTTGTATAAGTTTTCGGGGGACAATCTATTAAAACAACAACGACCACACAAAATAACATTTTACACTAGCTTAGCTTTGATTGCGCATGCCTCCAGTGTTGTAGCGCACGACGCGCTGGTTTGCTGAGACAGACAGGAGGGAAGCTAATACCATTAATGAACGGTGGAGCGCTAGTTGGTTAACTAACTTACCTCTGAATAATGTGTTTCTTACGGGGCCACTCGGGCCACGGTTGATGGATGGCCTTACAGAAGCCGGGTCAATTAGCCAGGCTGGATTTCCCTGCATGTCGGCAGTAGACAGCACCGGGAGAGCTCCCAGCTCTGTCACGCGGGCCTGGCTGTAATTAATCACCAGCGTGGGGCCTTCTCACCTCACACAGGCGCGCGCAAAAACAGCCAATACATACGTTTGGTCCAAATTACATCCCCACTCTTCTAATCTGGCTAATTGTCAATAACGCACCCAGAGGAGACGAGGGATCGTTACATAAAACAGAGTCGGACCATCCCCAACAACACTGAACAATGTACAGTAAGAAAGAAAAAAAGAAACCACGTTTTATTGTAGCAATAGCTGCTTTAGTTAGTTTATATTTGCTCAACAGTCTGCAATAAAACTTCTCTGCTTTAATTACCTGAAGATACAGTCTGTGGGACAACCAGGTTGGGACACTGGTACCAAAATTCAATAACAGAACATCAAACAAACCAACAACATCGTTGTTGGTGTGTTTAATGTAAATGTTTCCATTAGTCAGGGTTTGATTAAAAGCAGCACATACTGAAGTTCTACATGGACTCAAAAGCAAAAATGACTGATGACCTTTAAAATGTATTCAAAACTGAATATTTTCTTAAATCAGGACCAGGAGCTCAGTGTCAGCATGACAGGAGGGACATGTAATCACTTTTGAATTGAAAATTGTCTTGGAAATGTCATTTTAGCTGCAGCTCTCATCCCAAAAAGCTGTTTCTCTTTCTCTCTCCCTCACACACACACACACACAGGTAGACAGAGCACAGATTGAGAGGCAGGGACAGAGACGTCACTCGGTGTTCACAGCATAAACTCCTGTGGTCCGGACAAAAGCAGCAGGCTGGCAGATGAGGTTTGTGTCTGGGGGCAGGGGAGCAGTGTAGCACTGCTGCTGTGCTTTGTGTGTGTCTTTGCACAGTGTGTGTGTTGTTCTTATGAATTTGTGCATGTGTGTATGTCTGAGCGTGTGTGTGTGCATGCATTTATGTGTGTACCTATATGTGAATGCACACGTGTGTGTATTTTGTTGGGGGGGGGGGTTGGTCTCATGGGGCAGCTCTGTGTCTGTCCCATCTGCCACCCCACTCTACTGACACCCAAGGGAATGGCAGAAGGGGTGGGGGATTCATTTTGGAAAAAGGAATCGGGGTCCAGTGGTCTAATGGGCAACAATGCTGGTTTTACTGATGGGCCAAAGGCAAAGGACACTGACTGGGTGTGTGGAAGCCAATCTACCCATCTATTTGACAAAACAGTGGGCCACCCCTGTCAAGCGCTGCCTCAGCCTGCCTAATAAGGCACGCACACCCATGAAATTATGCCTTATATGAGAAAGGGGTGTATATTTTACACACATGCACACATAGACCTGGGGCTAATGTCAGCCCTAATGCATGGCCACGCTGTGGCCAGAGGGCTAATTGGCTATATAAACACAAACACATCCCTTGAGAGGGAAGAAGGCAAGGGTGCATTTTGTGCTCACTCTTTTGTGAGGGTGACAGTACTTTAACTAAAACAGCAGTATCTATAATAAAAGATGACGCAGTTGCCCTCTAGCAGTTATGCTCATTTGAAGCTGTGCTCTGAGTGTAATGTGGAATGACTTGGTGGCAGGTGGCATCTCATCCCGTCTTTATCCAAATTGTGATCAGGAAACTGTAAATGGTGCTGCCGCACTCACATCAGCAGCAGCAACAACATAACAGTCTCGTGGAAGAGCAGCATATGGCTCCTGCACCACTGGACAGAAGGAGCACTCAGCAAGATGAATGCTGAGGTGCTGGCAACAAAGCTGACTTTAACTTGTCAAATTAACAGCATATCAAAGGAGATAAAAATTTGAATTTGAATTTGAGAGACAGCAACAGGGAGCGATGATGAGGAAGAGGCAGGTGCAAGTGCTACTTGATGGTGACAAAGACTGCACGGTGACTTGCAGAAACATCGACTCGCTGCTGAGGTCAGTGTCAGATGTTTGAAGTCGGCGTGTCGCTCACTGTCACCGAACACAGTTTTTGAAACGCAGTTCGACCATATGTGCTCAGTACAAACACACACGGCACATGCAGACATGCATGCGCCGGGTGCTACCCTACCCCCTCACTGCTTTGAGGGCTATGTTAATGAAACAGTTGCTGTTTCCTGGCATAACATTAATTACCCGATCAAAATAGAGTGGGTAATTAACTGCCCTTCTTTACCAGTGCTAATTACATTAACAGAGAAGGGCCATTTGAGGGAGCAAAAGAAAGGGGAGAAGGAAAGTAGAAATACAGCGGTACCACGCAGAGGCTGAAAAACAAGACAGTGAAGCAAACGCTTGTATGTATGTTTTAAGAGAGAGAAAGAGACAGAGAGGAGGAGGAGGAGGCCTCGTTGGAGGGAGACTCATGTGGTTCTCACTTGGGCCCCCAGAGGCTTGGTCCTCAGAGAAAAGCAGGCTTATTGGAGAGAAGAGAGATGGAGAGAGGGGGGTGTTGTTTATCTTGACATGCTCTACTCAGTCTTTAACGCTCGCATCACAATTAAGATGCTGCGGCTCATCAGCTATGTATACAAAACAGTGTAACAAGCTGCACGAGCACACAGGTGACGGGCGCAGTCAAAAATAGATTCAGCACAACCTTGAGTTGTGGAGCTCTGTGGTAAAATCTTAATGTCCAGTAAACTGTCTGATAATCCAGTGTGTGTGAAAATGAATGCCAAGACAGTTTACCATTTAACGCAGGGCAAGAAACAAAGCAGCTTATATGAACATCACACGTGTTTTTTTTTTTCAGTATCCATTTTATTTGGAGCACAAAATATAATTACACCTTGAGATATACAAATCACATTTGCAACTATTTTTTGTATCATTTCAAAGAAAGATGGCTTCAAAAACATAATAATAAATTGCTAATAATTTTTAAATAAATAAAATTAACCAAACTCTAAAAACAATTTTGCAAGAGTCATCTGTTCTTTGTGTTCTTCGTTTTTCGAGTCCTGAGAATGCAGTTTGTGTCATACTGAAAAAAATGTAAGTAAGGAAGTACAAGTAAAAACAGAATGATGAGGGTCAGTGAACATCTAATACGCCCGCTTCTTTTCTTTCTTTTTGAGCATTTGTGCTTTTATTTACCGTACTGCATAGTGACTAGAGACCTGTACAGGGCTGAGACATTTAACATGGATGTGTAAAATGTAAAAGTCACAGTCGTATATATTTAAATTTGTAACATGGAGTGAAAAAGTACCAGGGCATCGGTGTAAGAGAGCATGCATTTAAAGTGAAATTAAAAAGGGATAAGGCTAACTAACATTTCCTTTACACAAGGAGAATCACCTTCTGCAACATATATATCATTATGCAAGATCCTGCAAACTGGGGATGTTTACTTAAAAAGAAAAAACAAATTCATCTTCTCTGCTGATCATTCATCAAATTCATTAGTAACTGCTGAGATAAATTCATGTCAGTAACAGCTGGAAAAAGTATCACTGTATAAAAACACGTTTATATTATTACCTAAACTAACAATAATAAGTTAAATTGCTTGTTTTTAAATAAATCAATATATGAATTCCTTTAGTAATAACCCTTGAGACAAAGAGCTCTCCCTTGAAAAACCGTAACGATCAGAACAAAAAATAAAGGGTTTGTTTTTCTGGAATGTAAATTGTCTTCAAAAAGTCTACTACAAAAAAACCTCTCACTAACTCACAGACGGTTTACACACATGCCGTTTAACGTGTCCATACGCAGACAGAATAGCACCCTGCTTTTTAGAGCTGCAACTTTTTATCTGAGTTGTCTGTCGTCCATCAGTGTTCAGTGCTCTCGTTGTGCGTCCTGTAAAACTCTGGCCGTGGTTTTGCGCAGGTGTTGAGGAAAAAAGGTGAATACTGCATGTGATGGTTGGTCAGAAGTCAACACAGATGCTTTTGAAGCTTGAGGCGAAATTCGAAGCAGTCTTCATCTGTTTCTTTTCCGAGGCTTCATTACACACGCACGTACACAACCGAATGTGGTCCAGTCTAGTGCTGCTTGCTAAGGATGGTCTCTGTGGTTGTGGGTGGATTATTCTCCTCCGTGTCTGCAGTGGATAGCTGGTCTTTGGACATTTTCATACCCCGTGCTGTTCATCCAGACGGATGAAAAAGGGACTAAGAAAAGGCGAGCATACAGGGTTGGGGAGGGAAGATATACAGTACATGGTCGCTAGTGATCAATTTTCCATTCTCCCTGCCCTCGTAGTGCCAAAAGAGGGGCTAAGTGAAGCAGTGGTCTGGGGTAGATTGGGGGTGCTTTGCTACATCGGGGGAACAACCAGGCCCGTCATTGCTGGAGAGAAAAAAATATACAAAATCTATGATTCGACTCAATCAGCTCTTGCATTATTCTACATCCAGCAACTGTTTTCTGTCTTGTTCAGTCAAAGCTTTCGAGTTAGTACAAGGGGTTAGACTGCATTCATAAGTTCAGACAGGGGGGTCAGATAGTGAGTTGGATGACTACCTCTGAAGCTGTTCCCCCCTGAGGCGGGGCAGGCAGGGGAGGGAGAGCCTTGGGGCCTGAGGACGGGAGCAAAAGCACTCTTCTGTTTAGCAGCAGACGGGAAGGAGGAGAAAGGCAAGAGAGAAGATGAGGAGCTGGAGCTTCCTGGTATAGTGGGGCTAGAGGGCATTACTGTGGAACAGAGAGCAACAGTCAACTTTAAGCCTGAAAGTCATAACACATCTGCTTTGTTAAGTTCATTAATGCACACTTGAAGATATTTAGAAAGTTTTTTAAGATCTTACTGTAGGGAGAGCCAGTGGGGGAGGCACTGTTAAAACCAGGAGATCCAGGAACACCTAGACTAGTCATGGGAACTGTCCCATAGCCTCCAGTCATCCCTCCACTAGTACCATAGGTTGACTGCTGGGGAGTTGAGGCTGACGGGTAACCCCTTGGAGACAAACTGCTCGAGTTGCGAATGTAACCTGGGGGGACCGTGGAAAACTTGGATTACATTTGAGCTTTATTAGCTACAAAATCAAACATGAAGGATGACTTAAGGCTCAGTTTGCTCACCCTGGCTGCTCTGTCCTGGCTCTCCGATGCTCACACCCAACTGAGAGGGATAGGAGCCCAGGCCCATGACGCTGCCGTGGGCTGGTGAACTGGGCAGTGCCTGCAGCTGACTGTGAGGACGGGGAACACTGTAGAGCGCCTCGGCAATGTCAGCTGCTCGTTTCAGTAGCATGTCCTACAGGAGGGCAAATAAAATAGAGAGCAATGGGTCAGGCTCACAGACATATAATGCAGTTTGGCCAACATATTATTGCCTTTAATTAATATATCTTTAGCTTGGCAGTAAACACAATATCTAATATCTAATTAATGTCTAAAACTGTGGATGTCTCTGCTACACCCAATTAGCCCATTAGCTACAAGTTACATACCGTGTACCAACAGTGCAGCTGACAGTTTTCTGACTCATACTGGTGCCTTCATGAGTTTTCATTTCATGTGCAAACTGAGAATCAGCAGCTGAACAGCCACTTGACATCCACAATCTAAAATTGTACTTTTTTGCAATGTTTTTTAATCTTTTAGCCTTCTGAGTGCCACACCTCTTTGGAAGATGCAGTCATTATAATGAAATGTTGGAAACCATCAGTCATTTACATTAGAAATGCAGTCTATAAATCAATGCTAATGTTAATATGTAAAAAATACAAAATCACAGTCACATGTGTACATTATTCTGTGCTTCAATACAATATGTAAAGAAAATTTCCACCAAACCTGATTACTGTGTGGATTTCCATACAAAGCTTCCACAAGATCTGCTGCTCTTTTCAGGAGGATCTCCTGCAAAAAACAAAAGAACAAAAAACAAATTGAATACAATAACCTCTTTATGACATGTGCACTGTGGTTTGAAAGATAATCGTAATATAGTAAGGTCATATATGTAACTTTCTCTCACCTTAGCTAGTTTCTCTGGGTCACCAGGGTGTCGAGGAATAACCTTCTGAAGACGCTGAAAGCCATAATCTATGGTTGGTTCATTAAGAGCTAAAAAAGGAAGGACAAAGTAAGTCAAAATCAGTCTCAGTTTAAAATTCTTGTGGATAACATGGACAAATAGAGCACAATGATGTGTCTACATACCTGTGTAGATAAAGCGCCCGGGTGCTCCTTTGCAGAATTGCTTAGATTTATAAGACAGTGTGACTTCCACAACCCCGGGAATGTGTCTCGGAGGTGTCTGGACACGGATAGCGTGTGGTGTGATCAGCTGGGGAACAAACACAGAAACTGTGTCACAAAATGATAAGAAATTCAACGTGAGGACTCCAGCTAAACATTGGTTATTTATTTCTGCTCCTTGTAAAAAAAGACTATATATAAAGATTGACGCAGACATATTATGTCAGTGCCAAAGAACTCGAATCCTTCTTCTTTGTAATGACCAGCGGGGGATGTTCAGGAGAACGATCCAGCTGAACAGAGGCCTAGGAAGCAACTTTAATTCTTCCTTCATGCATGAGGTCAATAATAAGGTTCCTTGTGCATCTGTGGTCACTATTGCTAGTTTCAGGGTATGCTTTAGGGAATGACTACTCACTTGCTTGTGATATCTGGATTTCAAAAATCAACAGCATGGTAACAGCCAAAAAACCCAACTAAAGGCTCCAGAGCTTTAGACCCAGACCATGGTGTGTAAAAAAAAAATCAGTTCAAGGTTGGAAACAACCTGCATAAGCTTGTTTGAAACTACATACGAGGCCAGAAGTCCTGGTCACGAGCCATGCACGTGACTTTTAATCATGGTCTGGAGCTCAAGTCAAGTGTAGCTGGACTATTTTTTAGTTCAGTTTTCAAACTGAAACTGGCATTATTTGGCCAGGAAAAGACACACAAGTGGCAAATTTCAACCTATCAAAAAGTGGACTACTATCATTAGTTTAACTCTGTGACACCCTGGTGACATTTGTCATGCTATGACAGCTGCCACTGGCATTTAAAGAAATATCCTCATCACCATGTCTTGTAAATGTTCAGACTACTTCTACAGTGCACAGTCTAATTTTGTGTAGGCTGCACCTAAGTAACTAAAATAATGTGATAAAGTTTTCATTTTTAAATATCTACCATCATTAGTGTGATGTTATGAAGATGCTCTTACCTCGCTCCACACGAGCATGCTTCCAAACACCACTTGTAGCCCATCAAAAAAGTTCTCCCCAATGACTATGACCATTGCACCTCCAGTGGTCCAGCCCTCACTCGGACTGATGGCTTTGATACATGGGGTAGCTAAACAGAAGAGCAAAGCAAGATTCACTTCAACGGTTTCAATACAGGATGTTCAGCAGTTGAGAAAAGAAGATGTGCAACGGAAGTGGGGATCTGATGAAGACTGTTTTAAAGATGCTCTGTAGTTCAGGATTGTGCAAAACAAGTTCTAAGATAAAGTTACAAAAGCTAAAAGCATTAGTGCCTGAATATTTCAACTTAATTTTATTTACGATGTGATTTTTATCCACAATGAACTTGAAGAGCACATTGGAAAGATATACAGTGTAGGTCAGCAGACACAGGAGCTCAATCAATGGACATTCAATGAAAGAGTTAAAAACAAATCTCTATTAAAAAATAAATGTGTTATGAAATGTATTTATGCACAGAACTGGAGTAAATGTTCTTGGTTACCTTCAACCACTGTTCAGATAAATAAGTAGTTCTTAGTTGAGATGTCAATGTGATGTTCGGATCTCCAACTGTAAACTTTGTTCTCAGGCTTACAATAAGATAGTCTCCACTTATATACGCATTTTCACTTTGTGGTTCTACAAAGCATTTTGAAGTGTGTTTCTCCTTCACTGTTTAGAGACTAACAGCACCGTAGCTGCAACACAAGGTGCTTGCCTGCCCTGTGAAACAGACTGGGTTTTGATAGTCTCGCATATGGAGCAGTAAGATATCAAACCACCAGCTCTGGGAGGAGTAATTTCACTTCATCACCTAAGCCTTGGTCACCCACATAGCACATTGTTTATTAGAAATGACAGCATTATCTTGAGTTGAATATTTTAGGACACATTGACAAGTATGGAATAAATGCTTTAATTAGTTCAGTTAATGACCTCAGCAGTTATGTTTGATATACCGCGGTGATTATGATCGGACGTTATGCAACTCGAGTACCTGCTGTTCCCTTATGTTCTGTGGATGAGTGTGTCTTATGCTTCTTGTGAGTGATGCAGCAGACATGTAACACAGAAAAAAAAAGGTACGGTAAATGAAGTGTGACGCGATGGCGTAATTGTCTTACCATATTCCATCGTATTCTCGACAGACTCGCCTGGCTCCAGTCTTCGAGCTCTTCTGCCATGTTTTGAGTTGTTGTGGACAAACATGTTGTCAGACACGGCTAGGACGTGACCGTCTACACTCACAGTGCTGCACAGGACCACCTGAAAGAGAGGAAAAGAGCCATGAGGAAGATACATGAGCGTCTATGACCCACTTAGACAGCATGCTGCGAGTCACAATCTCAGGTTACGACAGTAAAATCCCTGAGCAACGATTTGTTTTAGTGTACAGGTGATAGTCATATTTCTTAATAGGTAATGTGACATCCCCGGGATCTCCATAATATGTCTGCATTCTGGGGATGACACTGTTCCCGCAAGCCTCCACTCCTCCATCAGGTCTCCATATGGCCTCTCCTGCACTAACTTTTTGATTCATAGAGCATGCAGCAGGCTCATCGTTGTCTCCTCGTGATCCTTCAATGACAGCAAACATATGGACCAAATCTCCCATTTTAGCCAGCAGTTAAGGTAGTGGATGATATATTGTGACCCTAATTTGATTTTCTGGTCTCAGCATGTGTGTGTCCCTTCCCACATCACGAGGATGACATACAAATAATTAATGAGAAGATACTTTTCTCTTTGGAAAAATTATGAGTGTTGATACAATGCTAATCCTGAGCGCAAAACTGAGTTTCCGCATGTTTACGAACATTTTTTGACAGTACTAGGACTGTACTGAGAAAAGAATTTGAATAAACCATAATGTTTTTATATTTTTTTTTTTGTTTATTTTTTTTAGATATGTCAGAAAAGATCAATCTTTTTACTCCCTTTGAAATAAACACATGGCAGTAATATTACAGGTGAGGGAACACGAGGAGGGAAAAAAGGAGAAAAGGCATATGGTCCATACGTGGTGGAAAAAGAGGGGCAGCTATAGGAAAATAACTGTAAATTATCGATCTAGCGTCAGACTCCTGTCCAGCTCCGATCACCTTTTAACCCGGAGATGACAGTCTCCGAGTGCCTGCGTGCTCATAACTTCTCAGCGTGTGTCACCTCGCAGGGGATAAAGCAAAAATGGTGCAAGACAGGAGGACGAAGACAGGGAAGGGACAGGGGGTTTGCTGGGAGGAGGAGAATGCCAGACAGAGGCCGCTGCTGCTGAAAGACGGCAGAGGAAGTGAGGCGGGAGCGTCCCAAGTGACCACTTCCTGGGTCACGGAGCATGACCTCCTCCATCTGGAGCCAATCACTCAATTCTTGACAACTTCCTGAAACACCTCAACCTATTTCCTGCACTCCAGCACCCCCACGACCAAGCCCCCCTCCACATATCCAACTCCTTTCGCTTGTCTTTCTGTCTCGCTGTCTTCTTATTGATTTTTAACTTTCACCTTTAACTCCCACCTTCGTGTTTTTCTCTGCACAACCTCTCCAAAGGAGGAGTTTAAGGTAAAAGTGTGACAAGAAAATTCAAAAACAAAATCCTCTATCTAAATTAGAAGACAGGACGGGACATTCTCATTAATCCAAAACCTTTTGTTTTTTAGTGCCATATTCTCCACTTCCATGCAAGCACACACTCACACACTTGCTGGTTTCCCTCCGTGTATTTGTACCTGAAATCTCCTCATATCCCTTGGGTTTCCTGCTGTCTTCAGACAATTCTGGTTACATTTCAGGAAAAACTTCAAGAAAAACCTGCAAAGGTAAATACAAGGACAAATGTTTGTACATTAGCAACAAAAAAAGCATCACACAAAAGAATCTTGATCACGTTTGTGATTATTTGCTACCCTGTGACAAATTGGCAGTCTAAGAAGACACTAATTATTTTTCCGAGACAGGTCTTGTGTGTGTAAGGTTGTGCGGATGTGTGCGTCTCTGCTCTGTACACATCTGATTACAGTTCTGTCTTCAATCCCAGCTGTTTAGTTTAATAATAAAGTCAATGTTATTACACTTTAAATCAAGTAATGAGATTTTGAAGCACAGTCCAGTGAAACAGCCACGGTGTTTCAAAGTACACTGGAGACAGTGATGTATGCCAGGAGACTCAAGGGACCGTGGTATCCCACAATGCCGTATTTGAACCCCCACATGGGAATGGAGAGGGAAATGAAGTACAGACAACTACAGAGAAAGTGAAACGAGGAGGTGGGAAGATGGAAGGTAGCGATAGAGGCACAGGCACTGGTATGGACATGAATTTTGTTTTCAAGTATATGTGTCTCATTACGTATGTGAGTCTACTTCTGGGCGTGATAGACTGTGCAGACACAGAGTAGGTGAGAGAGAGAGAGAGAGAGAAAGAGGTCCTGATCGCCTCTGCTGCACCAAAGGAAACCTGAGAGAAAGGTGGAATAAATAGGAGAGAGGGAGACTGTGGAGAGAGACTCCAAATCCCAGGTGTACGCAGTTCGGCAACATAGCCCGCTGCCATGGCAACGCAGCTCTGCCGCAATCCCAAAGTCCCCATGCTGAGGCAAAGACAGCGGTGGGAAAGAAAAGGAAACAACAAGAACACATTCCATCACTGAAACCCAGCGCGGAGCCAGGAGAGAGACTTGGCGAGGTGAGAGGCAGGAAAGTATATAAAGAGGACAGGTGCAGACAGGGCTCAGGAGGTGGAGGACTTAAAGAGAGGACGTGTGTTAAAATACAATAAAATAGGAACTAGCTTTGCGCTGATGCAGGATTGTGATGTAATTACGCTTCTTCACTTCACAGTAAACACATCTGCCACATCTCTGCCGTGTCTGTGAGAAACACACCCATTAGCACTCCAATAAAACAAACAATAGCAAAGCAGAGAAAAATGTTGCACAAGGATGCAACGTATTTCTTTTGGGGTTTTTTTAGTTTGGTGGGGGGGGCTTCATGGGTAGCTCCAATCCCACCCACACTGTGTTTTCCGCAAGTATAAGTCATCTTAATGTAGAGCGGTTGTTTGGAGAGGAACTTCATATTGGCCCCATGGCCCTGAATCCTCCCATCGAATACTAATCTCTCCCTCATTCTGTCAGCTTTTACTCGCTATTCTTCCATCACTCGCTCCAACTTCCTCCCTTGCGAACAGGACCTGGCTTCTAACTCCGTTCCAACAGTGTGTCCAATATTTCTTGATTTGAGCTATTTCGTCAGAGGACAATCAACATTGTTGTTGGCAGAGGGCGATTGCAATTTATCACTTAGATCTTAGGCCTCCGAACTCAAAGCTACGCTCAGTGTGGGGTGGAAACATGTAAAAGGGCACATCTGCAGGATTTTAACATACATGCAGCAGTGCATGTATGTTAAAATCCTGCAGAGGCAGAGTTTTAAAGTCTGGTTCTGTACTCTACAAGTGGACAATAATCAAAAGTGTCCCATTTCATTTTACTGCGTCTACTGAAGGTGATACAGAACACATATTTATTATGTCCGGGCCAATGCAAAGGAATATAGAAGCCTTATGCATTAACCATTACATCACAGGAATCACATTTCTGGTTCAGTAAGCAGGTCCATTGTATGCTTGTGGTTTGATAACACTGGTTTCCTCACACAATCCAGTTGTAATCACTCACTTGACTGACTGACATGATAAATTTCTGCTGTAGTGATGCATCAGATACCAAAATCACAACCTAATTCAAAGGCTGTCTACACCGATCTCAGGCTTTGTGCACTTTCTGAGGGTTCTTGACCTTGTTTGTTGACTTCTTCTCATCATTCCTTGTTTGTATGACACCGGATGCCTCACACATGCACGCTCACAACCACACATTCGCATGCATACATGCACACTCTAATACACTGACACACACCCCTATGCTCCCCTCCCAAAAACCCATTGAGTCAACTTTTCACCCCCCCAGTTCGGACGCACACAGCTGCAAATGCTGAAATTAAAGCGAGACATTGACGCATATATTAGCATGCATTAGCCGCTTCCCCCTGCCCACTTAACATGCAAATCTCCCAGCCCCGTCGCCTCGCACCTTCTGCCACACATTCATTTGCTGAATTATAATTAGACTAATCTTGCATAATTAATAAGAAGTCGAGGACCCTCTGTTTTTATCCCCTCCTCTATTGTGGTTGCAAAAGTTTAATATTGCTGTTGTTTGTTTTTGTTTTGGTAATGTAATACACCCACACACCTCCCCGTGCACACAGAAGAGACGAAGAGAACACGCTAAGAATTGGAGGTGATCCTCATGTCACAGGGAAATTGCAGAGAAAGGCTATTTTCAAAGAACTCCACCAGAGTTATCGTGTTTATATTTAATGGCTGCCTTGTTACACATCCACAGATTATACTGCTCCATAAAGCAGGTGGAAAAGAGAGATCCTGTTTTTATTAAAACACTGTTAAGTGGGTAACACAATGCAAATAAAACTAATGGGAGATATGAAACAACTTTTAAACTCTCTGCCTCAATATATATTTGTTTTAACGACAGACAATTGAAGAAGAACTGCAGACTATAAGATAAAGCATTATTGGTAATCTTGTAAAAATGTATTTTAAAAATAAAACTTCTTAGATTAAGATTGCTGTTCCACATTAGTGGCAAATTTCACCCTACAGCATGCTGCAGTCAGCTATGAGAATCAAGTTTTATCTTCTGCAGCATCTTCCCTCCACAGACACGCTTAAAACAGGAAACACAAACAAAACATAGAACCAAGTCTTAAACTTTGGGATCATTTTACACTAGAGCGCCACAGGGAGTGTGTTTTTTTCTTTTCTGTCTTCACTTCTAAATCTCTGTCAAGGCCTCCAGTCCCCTTTGTCTACATCTGCGTCAGTTCCCAAGACTAAACACAGGCCTCGCAGCATGAGGTGGGCATCCCAGGAGTGACAACTTGCTTTGCTAAAACTAGATCAGTGACCAAACTCCAAGTCGTGACACTAAAAACAATAAAAGAGTAACAGTTTTTTTAAACACGTTTTCATTCTTTACTATGCTTGGTTTCACATTCCTCAGTCGATTTTGGCATCTGTTACACATGTAAGCATTGCCCTGCTTTACACATGGCCTTAATCATCCAGTGAGCACCTAAGCACCAAAGGACTTAACAAAAATTTTCATAGGCATTCATCAGCACTAATCACTGTTGACATAAACTGCCTTTTCACATAGTCGTAAAACACATCACCCACTATGCTCGCTGTAAATGAACTTTTACTGGTTGCAGTGGCTCTTCGAGCAATCTGATTCAAGCGTGGCTTTAATGAAGAGTTCAAATTAGCCAGGAGCACAGAAAACACTCCGACTCTCACTTTCCTGGGGTTGGCTTTAGTTTTCTAATTTTGGGTCAGTGCAGCAAAAGTGACAAATTTATGCTTCAATCCAAATATACGAGAGGAGAAAACTTAAAGGAAACTATGGGGAGGGGGTGACCGTCATCATTTTTGCTCAGCAAAAGTGGGTTCCCTGCTGCTTGGTGAGAGGCGAAAAGTGGAGACGGAAAAAGAGACGCTCTTCTTCATCATCTTAATAAATGTTATTTTTGACCCAGTCTGTAATCCCTAATAATCAAACTAAAAAAGGCTGCAAAATACAAAAAAGATGAAGAAGAGGCGGACGCGGAGGAAGAGAGGAAGAATGTCGACGTCCTGTATGCAGGGCCATCACTCATCAGACATCCCCTCCATCACCTCCCCACCGCCACCCTGAAAAAACAAAACAGTGTCCTGACATCGTGGTGGAGGGGAGCTGAAAGGCGGGTGGGGAGGAGGGGAGGAAAATTAGGAAACCAGATGTGAAGCATTAAAACATACTGACATGCTGAGGGCCTTCCTCTGCCACACTCACACACTGAGAACACTAACTCGTACAGCAGGCTAAGATACATGCACGCATGCATGTGTATGTCTCACACACACACACACAGGCCATAAAACAACACACACGTACACATGCACACACAAAGACAAATACTGACTTGAAAGCAGCCATGTGTGCACAATCAATCATGCAGAATTATACACATTAGAAAAAGTGATGCCTAAAAAACAAATGCCTAAAAAATGTAAGCATGCAAGCTGATTTTTAATAAAACACGCGTGAAATGGGCCAAAACACGCTGCAGCTCATGGCTAGGAATGAAGGTTTGGATAAATTAGGGAGGACGTAACAATTTTTCACTGCAAGACAAAAATCTACAGATGGGTCATCATGCATCACTGTATGAATATGCATCCAATTAGGACATATATTTTGGCTGAGAAATGGCTGGGGGAGCTTTGTTTTCCTCCATGAGGGGAGCTGTATTTGGGGAGGGGGGGGGGGGTGGAATTGGAGCATAGTAGATGTGTATGTGTCAGTGGGGAAGAGTAATAAATACCCCTGGACCAGGGTCCCCTGGCAGACTGGGAGCTAGACTGGTCACCAGGGTTAACACCCGGGGCACCTGACCTCTGACATTGCTAATGGGGCACAGAAAACCCTCCACGAACTGATACCCCCTCTGTCGCATACCACCACAGGACCTTTCACACCAGTCGTCCCCAGTCCGCTCCCCTCCTCCTCCTAAAAACATACAGGGATATCTGTGGCATCACCTTCACTGCCCTTTCACCAGCAAATGCCACACAAATTCCCTACAGCTTGAGCTTCTCTTTCATTTTCTTTTTTCCGGGATGCTTTTTAAACATATATGCAGTCATCATCATCATCATTTAAAAAAAATAAAGCTTGACCCTTATC